CCCCCCCCGCCCCACAGCCTGTTACTTGAGACTCCTGCCTCTGCCCATTTAACAACAGGCACATCTTGGGCTTACAACAGCCTCCGGAGCTGCTGTCACTAAGTGATGCAGCCACATGACAACATCACGTTTTATGACCACCTCATAATTTAGCAAGTCACCCCAGTCCCTAATGGCATCATATACCCAAGGACGACTTCTGCTAAACTTAAGAAGGAATCCCATCCCCCAACAACCTAGACCCAAAAGACGCCCCTCCTCCCAGGCTGATGCTCAGGCCTCAACCCCAAGGGGGACCCCCCTCTGCCCCTTCTTCCGTTCACAGGAGGCGACAGGAAGTGGAGAGGATTCCTCATCAGATTCTTTCCTGCTGCATGTTCCGGACGTACAACTGATCCTTGCCATTGGCACATACTGAGAAACTAGCTTCATGAGCCTGGAGGTATTCTGATCCAGGCAGACCACTTGATTTCTGGGGCAGGAGGAAAGGAGCCAACGTACCTCGTCCTGCCTCTGGAGGAGATTTTGATATCCTTCTGGGAGGACTCGTCATCGGAGGACGCGGGTCCCTCTGCATTTTCATCCTTCTCCTTGTGCTCCAACTTGATTTTCAGCGGGCCCAGCGCTACTGACGGGGTTGGCAGTCCAGCGGGCAGCACTGCAATGAAAGCCAACGAAGGGCAATTCCTATGAAATAGTGCTAGGACATATTTGAAGAGTTACAATTTGAAACTTGTTGAAGAAAAAAATCAGATGATCAGAGGTTGGTGTAAGCTTTCTGTGGAACGTCCAGATGAGTGTGGTTTGATGAGAAACTTCTGGAACACCCCAGAGGGCTCTATATCCAAAGGGAAGGCTCTGTGCACACTAGGCCTAAGTCGGGAAGGGACTGGAGACGAAGCAGCACCCGGCCCTCAGTGTGTGGTGCAATTCTTTGCACTGTTCGGGTCTAAACAATTTATAAAAAGAAAATTACTATTCCACAAAGAGCAATCAAAACAGCTACAAGAGCTCTTCCACGAGGAAGACAAAACATTTTAGTTACAAAACAGTGTGTGTGCCTGTGTGTGTGTGTGTGCGTGTGTGTGTGCATACACATGCACGTGTTGGGGAGACACATAACAGAGGAATCTGAAGTAATGCATAGTAAGGGAAACCAAGACAGAGACAAGTTTTTCTTTCTCGAGAGACATCCGCGGGGGCCAATCCACTGAAGCAAAACATGGCTGGACTTGGGAGAACTGGGAAAGTTCTTTCTCCAACTCATAAGCAAGCAAAAACAACTTTTGTTGTCAAGGAATCCTACAGATCCATGAAAAGGCTTATGGTTGTTACTCATTTCACAAAGATTCCCATAAATTTCCAGATTGAAGAAACTGAAATGTGACTCACCTCTATAGCTTTCTTGGGTTTTATGATTTAGTTCTGTACTCTGGGCAGGAACAGTGTTGCACACCCCTGAATTATTGCTACTGAGGCTGGCACCATCTTCCCGATGTGTGCTGACCTAGGACAAAGACAGCACAGACACGGATCACCGTTCAGCCTGGCGTGAGGTCAACAATGTCCAATCCTCCTGGACATGTCTGCCATCGTTCCGACGGCAATCCTACAGCAGGAACCGCAAGTGGATGCCCTGTGAGAAAGTTGTGGGAATCCGTGAGCCGGCGGAGAGGGTCTCCGAGGGACTCTACTGCGCGGGAGTCACCCCCCACCCCCACTTTCTGCAGGAGCTGCCCTCCCAGCAGAGGCAAGATCTGGTGGCTGACTTCTGGGAAGGAAGAGACAAAAGGGCTTGTGCCAAGAGCTTGTGAGGCAGTGGAGTCACAGGCTGCACCCGGAATGAGCGGGATGCCCTTCCTGGAAATACAGCATGGGATGTTCTGTGGACTAGGACGTCGATCTCACAATATTTATACTTAAATGACTGTAGAATTTAAGAGTTCTTTCATTTTAGCCCTCTCCATCTATTCTAATGTCTCTGGCCAATGACTCTCCACTTTGTTTCTGGCCCTGTGTACATTCTTCAATGATGGTTCTATGTGCTACTTAAGAACTGTGCAGAGGTGCTGCGATGCTGTGGTCAGGGGTGTGTGTGTGTATGAGAGAGAGAGACAGACAGACAGACAGAGAGTGTGATGAATGGAGGGCGTGAGAATGGGTAAGAACCAAGCAGAGGCCCCAAAGGAGCCTTTTCAAGAGGCAGCTGGAGTTTTCTTTGAAGATGTTTTGCTTCTCATCCAAGAAGCTTCTTCTTCTTCTTCTTCTTCGATGAGAAGTGAAACATCTTGAAAGAAAAACCAGACAGTCCAGTTGCCTCTTCAAAGGGCATTTCTGGGACAACCATGATCGGGATGACTGAGAATCTCCACAGATAACCAAGCAGAGGGGCCTCTTCTTTTCCAGGCATCTCGTGGGGACCAGCGTGCCGGCTGGACCAAAACCAGGGAAGGAAAGTCGCTTGCTCAGTCACAAGGGTCCACCTGATGTGGAAAGATCAGCCACTCACCACTGAAGCTTGTCTACTGGCTATGACGAGGCCGGATGTGCCGTAAGCGGCATTCAACGTGCTAATGGGCCTATTGTGGGATGGCCGCAATAAGCCCTCCATCTCTGCGTGGGCCCCTGCCAGGCTCACTGAAGGCCCCACGGCGTGGCTTCTCAGCACGTTGATGGCGTCATCAAGCCTGTCCAGGCGATCTTCCATCCGGGACTGCTGTTGGGATTGAGGAGTGCAGGGAGGTCATTTGTGGCACACATTCGCTTCTCAAGCATTCCACAGTGGGAAACGGGGAAGGCGGCCAGGGAAGTGGGGTGGTGTCAAAAGGACTTCAAAAGTAGCCAGAAGTGCCAGGGAAACACTTCTGGTTCCAAAACAAAAGAGAGGTGAACTACAAAACTAATTTTGTCTGGTATTCTGGAATAAAGCTTAAAAGAAAGAAGCAAAACTCTCAATGGGGATTAAAAAGGAAAAATGGCACCACAATTTGACTTTGACGAGTGTTTTCTAGGCAACAAATGACCCCAAGCGGAAATAGCCGGAGGAGATTCGTCTTCAAAGCAGGTTCCAAGTCCCCTCTTGCCCTGCACACTCTTCCTTCTTTCCTCGGCCACTCCAGAGAGTCGGACAGAGCCTCTGTGGCCCTGATCTGCTCCCAGACAAAAGCCACGGCTAGGAACGAGCAGCCAGGCACCAGCCCCATCAGGATCCCGGCTCCCTCAGAGTCAGATTGGACTATTACGACCATGATGCAAATGCAGGAAAAGGGGGTTGGGGGGGTTGAGATAGAGCAGTTTGCTTTCAGGTCTGAACTCTCACATCAGATTTTCTTGATTTCATGCCAACATTTATTTTGGCATATATTTACTGATTGTTCAAATAAAGCACGTCGTGTTGCTGTCACATGACATTCTGCGATGTTTTCCCCCTTCGTGGAGCTGGGATGGGTGTGGCTTGCAAGTGATTCGTGCAGTTTGACACCCATGAAATAAGGTATGCAAAAGAGCATTCAAGCATAAAAACTTTTTACAAATTGAAAAGGCAGGCTGATGGAAGGAAGAGATGCGTCAGCCATGCCATAGTAAATTGGGTGGGCTGTTACTTTTAAAAATTTGTAAGTAGATTAACCCAAAAACTCCCCCAAAGGCACCCTCTGAAGAGAAACGGTACCTCACAGACATCCTTTAAGAACGACATGGCATCTTGCAAATGCTCGTGAAGTTGTTGCTCAACTCGATTTTTCTGGCAAAGTCAAGAGAGAAGAAGAAGAAGCAAAGCACAAGTTAAGTAACGATAAAGAGGTGGGGTAAATAGCTGGTGTGCCGGTCAGCCTCAGTGGTTAGTTAAGTTAATTCCACAAAAGATTTAATTAAACTTGGAACTAAACTCTGGCTGTCAGCCAGAGAAATCTCTATAGATTGGTTATGTACATTCGCAATGGAAGGCAGTAGGCAAAGTAGCGTATCTGTTAGCTGCATGAGAAAAATATGACCTTGGGAGATCTTAAAATGCTTCATCAATATGTACACGGTATTTTTCTCTTCTGTTTCTGAGACAGGACCGAAAGCTTTCTCCAGCAATTCCTATCGCCATCTCTCCTCCACAGATGCACCCAAGGTGTTTGGGGGGGGGGGGGGAGACACACACCTGGGAAGCAGAGGCACTTGTGCCTCCTCCTCCTCCTCCCTCTTCCGCAGCACCCAGGGGCAGCTCTCAGGAGCCACCTGTCTAGATTCATCCCCCCAAACCCCTTTCATGCTGATGGTCTCATGTCTAGATCCCATTGCACTCCAGACACTCTGTGGGTTCTCTTCACCCTTAATTCTTCTGTGCTGAAGAGCCCAACGCCATGCTTCCGTTCTCCAGTTATCCCAATGGCCTTTTGGCATATTTTCAAATTCTGCAATATGCTTGGAGATCAATGATCCATGAACAAAAGAGATGCTGAAGTAGTAATGTAACACGTGGCAAGCAGAATTACACCAACTCAATGTAAGAACCGCCCAAGGATAAAACTCATTTGATCTTGCAGTTTTAATTATTGTTGAATTTGTTTAAAAAAAGGGAAATATGATTTTAATGTAAATTTTCCAAAGAAAACGGTTTTGAAAGGCAACCATTAACAGAACCAAAAACAACCATCTTGGTTCTGTTAGGAGGGAATGAACGTATAAGTAAGATTTGTTTGAATAAAACCAGAAAGCCATTTCTTGACCAGAGTTGCCCAGCGATTCTTACCAATGAATGTAAAGAATTTTCATAGCTTGGAGACGGGGGGGCTTGTCCTCCAGTTCTTGACCATTGACCAGCACCTGTCAAAACCAACACTGCTGAAGCATGGCACATGCAGGAGAAACGTATCCTACTCTTCCCAACATCTTCTGGTTTATAAAGAACTTTCTATTATTTCTATACGCATTTTGGAATGATTTTCTTCGTGGAGCCCAAGCACAGAATGCCGACTGACAACTGGGGGTGGGGATAACCATGCCAGAAAAGTAATGACTGGCTCCCAAATCTTGAATAGGAGCACCTTAAATATCAAATTTTGGTCAAAGGGGCAATTCACAGGTTCTCTGCACATGATCAGCAGCTTTTGGATGTTTACTGGAGAGCAGAGCGAGTGCACCGGCATGCCAGAAAACCAGTTCTTACAAGGATTCAAAAAAGGAAGAGGAGGGGAAGGGGATGGCTACTACCTGTGAGGGATGATGGTGACCCAACAGGTGTTGAAGGATTTGAAGGAAAGCTATTACTAGTGTGGTCAGGAGAATAAATCTAGGGGGGAAAAAGAAATATCACAATATAAATTTATCCATTTGAATTATTTGATATGCTAGAATCTGCACATTTTTTTAATTCAGCTGAACACCAGTTGAAGAAATTGAAATGTCTAGAAATGTTCAACTTGGTAATTGAGAGCAAACCACAACCCCTACTAAGACCGATAATGTTATCTAGTTTGGTAATTAAACGTCTGCAAGAAAACAACCAAGCTCAGAGCGCACCAAGGACCCCACAGTTCAATCCCGAGGGACAGATATTCCCTTCTATCAATAACGATAATTCCCTGCTGTGATTCTCTCCCCAACGCAGTTCTTATAATAATAGTGCTTATAGAATAGTTCCCAACGCTACTGTTTACCTTAAATGCCCACCTCACTAGAAACAAAATATGAGGAATTTTAAACTCCACCAAGGTGGGGCTGAGGCTGCAGGCTCTGGGCTGTTAAGTGGTGGTGTTGGTGGGGTGGGGGACTAACCCTCAGGCTAAGCCTAAGCCCTGGGCCTCAAGCAATGCAATCCATTCAAGGATTACTTGGGAAAGTCAACTCCCCAATATTTCCCTCTTTGTCCAGAGATTGTGAGCTCTGAGCTATCCAAGCTGCACAAAGGCTGCTCTCTCTGAACTGGAAGTGGAGAGCAAAACGTATATCATCAACAACATTAAAGAAAAATCTCTGGTTTGATCTCCTTTAAATTACAAACCAAGTGCTTTGATTTGGCATTTAAACACCGACATAAAACCGGATGCTTCTCTCACCATGGACCCTCCTACGAGCACCATCTATCGGGTTATTGTTCAGGGAGGCCCGTTAGATCTGGTAGAGATGCCCAGATTTCCTTTGCTTTCTATCCCCACCAGTTCGTTATCCAAGCCCAAGTATAATCCAATGGGCTTTGAGAGCTTTGGGTAAATACTTTCCTAAATTCTTTCTTTCCCACTCTAAGATTAAGACTGCAATTATCCAGGCTTAAATCTAAAATAAAAGGACCTTTGCAAATGTATTATCTGACCTTTCTTTTTTAACCATGGAGTATTTTGAAAGGAATTTGGTATTTAGATTGGGAAACAAAAGTTGCATCCTATTATTTTTTTAAAAAGCATCACACCAGACACAATCTTATTTCTGCTATTAATGGGAACATTTAAATGGGAGAGAAAGGCAGCAGCTTTACAGTTTCATGATGGTTTTATTGCTTCCTCAGACAGGTCAAAAGCTAAAGAACAAAGGATGGGGATTCCTTCATGCCGCCTTTCTCAAGAGTAGCAGAGGACAATGGACACACACCTCCAGGTGAGGGAAAACCCAGGGGGGCTCTCCGCTCTATCAAGGGCTGAGAGGCCAACAACCAGCCCTGAACTGATTTGCTGAGGCAAAGGTGAAGAAGGGCCTCCTTATCTTCCAATTGTGCAAACTGCTTGTTTCCCAGGCACACGCTATACTCCTCTCTTCTGCCTCCAACTGACAGCACCCATTCAGGCTAGATCCTTAGCAAACTGTGGCTGCATCCAATCTCCCTCCCGTTTGTTGGTCCTGGAGACCTTCTAATGCAGGGGGGTCCTCAAACCTTTTGACCAGGGGGCCAATTCATAGTCCCTCACATAGTTGGGGGCCCAGACTAACTGGGTGGGCGTGTCCCCAATTTAGCAGTCCATTTTGCCTTTGTCCTTGCTGTACTTGCTCAATTCCAAGGAATCTATTTACTTAAGTCCCCCCCCCCCCTCCCTCCAAAGGGAAAAAACAGCGCAAACTTTCTTGCCACTTGCCTAACTTTCTCACAATAGCAGCTTCAGGCTTCTTAAAACAGGCCATGAAAAAAGACAAAACAAACAAACAGGGTTTCCTTCAAAATATCTCCTGATCACATGTTTCAGGTGACCACACAATAAACCAGGCTGAGAACTGCACCAATTAAGACAGCAACTAAAACCGCCAAGATGGGCATTGAGAGACAATGGAAGCAGGCGGAAGAAGGCGAGAATCAACACACAAACACACCCAGCCTCCAATGGTGAATTAAGGAGGGATGATGGTCCCCCAGACTGTTGAGGGCCGGGCTATAGTTTGAACAAAATTCTACAAACACTGCACATATCTTCATTTGTAGTGCAAAATACATGACATACAATATTTAAAATGAAGAACTATTTTAACCAACATAAATATACTACTAACTCAATGGGAAGTGAATGGGCCTGTTTATTTGGGATTACAGGGCTAAAGGTCTTTTAAGCCTGGAGGAGAATTCACAAACTGATTTACTTTTGGCCGCACTTGTGCCTGTGTATAGACACACATGAATTTCTACCAAAATTGTTCAGCAACCCATTTGGTGGATGTACTTTATATACGGGAAGAATCAAAGCAGTGGGTGAATTCTCCTTCAGGCATTATACTGAGGTTGCATTGGAATTAGTGTTAGCCAACTTCAGCTGATTTCGAAAAAGCTAGGAGCTGTGGAGACACCTCACTCACTAACTCACCCATTTTTAAAGCGCTACTTTAAAAGCAGCTTCTTCCCTACTCACCCTCTGGCCCTGGATCACATCTGAAAGGCTGTTTTTAAAGAATTTTCAAGCACTTCTTTACAAGCTGGCAGCTGCTTTTCATCCCACCGCTCCAGGGGCTGATACTTTGCATTGGTGGGCCATATCTGGCCTGTGGAGGATAGTTTGAGGATATCTATTCTAATGGAACTCAAGACCCCTCCTCTGTGGGGGAGCCAACCCCAGGAGGAAGCTTTGGGGAGGAAACTTTCGGGTAAAGCTGCTACAGGCAAGGTAGCTGCAGCACTCAACCCCTGCCTATGCTGTGGGGTTAATTGGAGAATGTATTTCTCATGATGAATTTATTTCTTAACCTCTGGACAACCAACAGCTTCCTCCATCTGATTAGCTGCCCCCTTGTTGTAGATCTCTAGAGGAATATTCCAAGGGTTTAAAATATAAATGGCGTTAAAGAAACAACCCTGAGTAGGAGAGCTCTCCAGGCAGTCTTTGGAAACACAAAGCCTTCAGCAATGCCGTTTTACAGCACTTAGCTCTTTAATCAGTTTGTCTTTTGCGCCTTGTCTTCTGTGGCTCCGTGGGGGCAACTCCCCACTATCTGCCTATTGGGGGGGGGGGAGTGTTTTGTGCCACGCCTGCATGTAATGTGCCCGAAAGGAGCTTTAGATGTGAACAAACTTTAGATGACAACATCACAAATTCACGGAAATTCCCCCTTCCAATCCAAGCCACCCTGGGGTTGCCTGGGCACAGACACCTACGGATGCTCATTGAGATCTAACTGACATTTTGTAAATGGAGTTTGAGTCCTGCACAGAATTGCTCCACATACAATTACTTACAGAGGCCAAAGCTTTTCCCAGGGCATCCCCAGTCTGTGCACTTCCAGCAGGATTCCCTCTATGAACTGTAAAGAAAAAGGCAACACACTTTGATGTGGTGCAGATGGTGAGAACACCCAGACTATTTAAGAGAGCAGAAGGGGAGGGGGGGGGAAGAGAGAGAGAGAGAGGGAGGGTGGGAGAGAGAGATGAAGAAGGGAAATCACCTCTGAGCTGCTGTTCTCAAAGGGCCCTTCCTTCTGGGGAATGCCCTTCTTCTTGACTACAGGCAAGGCTGGTTTGCAAAGATGCCAAGAGAAGGGCTGGAAAGCAAACTTTGTGCTCCAAAGCATCCACTGAATCCGTTTATATAGGATTGTATTTCTCGCGTCCCATGGAATTCCAGAATTGCCTCCATTTGGACCTGTGCGGTGATCATTGTCCACTTTGGGGACCCAGGTAAAGGGGCTGCCCTATCCTGGTCTTCTTATGGTCAAGAATTAAAATGCAAATCTAAACATTTTTTTCCAAAGGTATGAAAAATGTTTTCTAGGCTGTGCTCTAAGAGTGGAGGTCAAATTAAGAGATGTGTGAACATATCCCGACTCTAAAAATACCAACATTATAAGCCTTGCCAGCTGACAAATCCTTTTTACAGTTTTAACAGATATTTTACTATCACGGGTTAATAACTGTAACTAAACTAGCTATAAATTTTATGGACAATTTTAGGACTCCGAGATCTTACCAAGCACACTGGACTCTGATCCGTTGACGGGCGGAGTATGAGAGGTGGTGGCGGCAGCGGCAGCGGCATATAATGAGTTGCTGCCCCGGTGAAAGCTGGACATTGGTGGAAGGCTGGTGCTTCCATCTGTTGGTGAAGCTGGAGGAGGAGGAGGACAACTCTAGGAAAAAGCAGGAATGGAATCACAGTGCAAGAAGGGAACAAAAGGGGCAATTTCATATTACCCCAAACTCTTAGTTACAAAGAGCACAACTGTCATCCCAACCAAGGCAGAGTCCATGAAGCCATGGGCAGAAAGATACTTTGCCTCAGTAATCCACCATCCTCTCTGGAGGTGAGATTTTATTTTTAGGCATGAAAGTCAGTGCTGGCTGAATGAAGGAGGGGGGGGGGGCTCTTTAGAGATAATGGGAAACCCCCTTTCTCCATTATCTGGAAATAAAAAACTAGGGTCCCATCATTCTGCAGATGCTGCTACAGGTACTGGTTAAAACTGAAATTTGTAACACTTCAGCAAACTAAAACCTGGATTTTGGTAACAAACTCTAAAACCTAGTTTTACAATTCTTAGGTTTAGCTCAAATGAAATGGGGAACCGGAGGAATGAAGAAAGGCGTGCAGGAGAAGCCGATGCTCCTCCAATCTCATTTGTGAGGCAGGAAGCCAAGGTCCCATTAGGCCCAAATTATTACACTGAGGTGCCACAGGCACTATCTGTAGGGACAAGGAAGCCCTGAAGCCACTTTCTCCCTACAAGTCTGAATGGTTGCACAGCCGGATCATCCACTCCAGGGACAAGGGCTACGCCATGCCCGAAGATCAAAAGCTCTTCTGGTTTGGAAGGTGAACTTCCTGAAAACCCTGAGCCATGCCCGGAGTGGTGAGTTTGCTCTGATCCAGAGGAATTTGTTCCCAGGGTAACGGATACAAATTTAAGAAGACAAAGGGACAGAATGTGTTACATACACAGACTTCCCAAAACACCAGGGATTTCCCCATGGCCTCTACCTTAGCTGACCATCCAGGGACACGTGGCACTGCCATCCTTCTTACCAGGCGCTCGTGGGGATGCCGGCTGCCATAACTACCGGAGGGCGACAGGTGAGAAGGACTTTCCAGCATTCCACCATAAGCCGACTGGCTCACTCCATGGGAGGGGCTCCAAAGTTCAGGAGCAACGTGGGTCCCATCTTTATTGTTGGATGGAAAGAAAAGACAGAAGGCGTCTGGCCAGGCAGTTTTCAATTTATGCTCTTCAGAGACTCAGCCCTGCACTGAGGAGGAACCGGCCAAGAAGAGCAGGGCCTGGGAACGGGGGAGGGAGGGAGGGGTGGGTGGCTCAGAAAGGATGAGCAGGCAGATGAGCCACCTGCCCCATGGATCAGGTGCCCCAACATGGGATTATTTGATTACTAATGCTATTCATTCCTTTTACGGAGAAGTCTTTCTTACCTTGTAACAAGAAAGTGCTAGCAAACATACTGCTGGGTGCTTTAGGAGATGGGTAACTCGGAGAGTCTCTATTAAAGTCATCTGAATTAGGAGAAGGTGCACAGACCTAAATCCATGAAGCGAAAGGGAGAAAAGGACAAATATACCAACAGCTGAAAGGATCCAGCCACCACCAAGCAGAGCTTAAGAGGAGGAGGAGGAGGAGGAGCACAGCTGAATATGAAGTCACAAGTCTCACACTGCTTTGGGGGGGAATTTCTTCA